AGGCGGCACCTGGCGGGCGGGAAAGCCACAGGCCAGGTGCCGCCTCGCGCCCGGTTCCCGCCTTGCCCCGCTCCCGGCCGGCGGACGGTTCCCCTGTGAAGGCTGGCATTCGGCCCTCTCCCACTGTTACTATTACTTTATTTTTTTTTTAACCGACTTGGAGCCAATTCGCGCCGAACTGACCTGCGGCCGTTTCAGACGGGGCTTTTTCGTTTCAGCTGGGCGCATTAAAACCGGCCGCAGCAAAAAGGCGGCGCGGCTTGCACTCCTTAATGAAAGAAAAATTGTCGATAAATCGTCGAACTTCCACAGCTTATCAAGAACTCCGCGTATACTCATTAATTTCCCTGCCATGTAGCTATTGACCCGTCTTTACTTTGGAAAGGCTGTTACTCTGCTCAAAGTAGACCCGAGCGCGACCTTCAGTCTGTGTGGCCTTCAGTCTGTGCGTGCCCTGCCAATGGCCAAGTGGTTTGACCGCTTGCAGCATAGGTACACCTTTAAGGACACTGTCGTTTCCCCCCATCTGACAAACAGCCATCCCCCTGTACAACGCTGGCACAAATGTGTGAAAATCATTTCACAGGCAAAAACAGTCCAAGTCCCCCAAGACTGAGATTTTTTTTTTTTAATCAAAAGGGTCGCTGGCAGCACTTGGCCTCAGCGGAGTGAGAACAAGAGCAAGGTGCAATACCTCCACAGCCCTGCGAGGTTTGCAAGTACCAGGCATAGGCGCGAGGTGACTGTAATTAAATGCCCAGCATCTAAAAAAGTGTACATAATGGATAGCTTCAGTTGCCTTTTTCTCCCATACTGGTATTGGCTTTCTAATCTGAAAGATCTCATTATCTGACAATAGTAGTGAAGTAGGGAGTTTTTTTAATCTGCCCGCACAGTGCCTCTTTTTGTAAGCCTAATTCTACTTTACAAACCAAATCCAAAGGTGAAAAATAATATCTTCTGATAAGGACAGTTGCTTTTTCTAAATGACAGCCAAGTAGGATTTGCACAGACCAGCAAGATTTTGTTTGCATTGGAAGTGCTTTAGTTTCTGATCTGAAGAACAATGAAACAATTAGTAAGATTCAGAGACATCCTTTATTAAGGGAATATTTCTCATGATCCAGTGAGGCTACAAGTAAAATTTCACAGGATGTATCTTTTGTTGCAGTGTTACAGAAGCAGATGAAGTACGCAGCAGGTTAGTGGTAAGAAGCATTGTACAAGTATTTAGCTTTACAGAGGTGTACGTGACTGGACAAATAGGCTTTCTAATATTCAATTAATTTTTAATAATAATCTTGTGATCTGATGGAAGAATGAGGTTTAGGAATAAATAATCTGTTGTTCCTAACACATGAATTTTGAGTCTCCAGTGGGAAATTGTATCCTCGAGAAAAAGAAGCAAGGTGTTGTTCCATACATGGCGGTTCCTGGGCTCTTTGGTCCTGTACTGTCCGCTGACGCTGTTGGATACTCACTTCATAGCAACTCTATCCTGGTGTAAAACCATCGACTCAATGCAGTTACTCCTCATGTACAGAGTAGTGAGATCTGAATCAGGCCCAAATGCACACATGCAGTTTCAAACAGGGTCACAGTCAGAGTATCATCGCTGACTTCAAGTTGTCTCTAAACAGAGAGGTCAAAATACATCATTAGTAACTTCCAGGAAAGTCAGCACGGAAAGGCTTCTTTCTGTGTGAAGGCTGAGCATCGTCTGGCTGACCTTCAGTTCATGCAATGGGACAGCCTCCATTTTGCCATCTGTGGTGATGGCGAACCGCTCTTTATGGGCAGAGAGCCCGTGATAACAAATTTTGACAGTGACAGGCTTCCGCACCAGTTGCACATGCATCAGATCTGCTGGTCACACGGTACAGTGAAGTGAGCTGTTCGAACAAAAAAACTAAAAAGATTCAAAGTGTTCTTGAATATTCTGACAGAGTCCGTACAGCACTCAAGCAAATCTGCTGACAAATACTAGATAAAAGTGTCTTCCACTTGGGATTAAGTGCCTTCCTTTTCAAAAGGAAGTCGTGGTCTTAGCACGTGGTTGCCCCATGCAGCCTTCCCTTGGGCTTTTAGAGAGCAGGAGGTGCTCAAGGAGTCAATAAAACCAGACTTTGAACAGGCCAAATCACCAAGAGCTCTGAAGAGCCACAGACCTCAGGGCCGGATTCTGATCCTGCGTACCTCATTGTGAAATGGGAGACACATTCAAACTGATGCCCTAAAATGGCTAAAAGCCCTAAAAGCAACATTCAAGCCAGGCAATGTTTTAGCACAGGGCAACACTGCTCTCTATAAAAGGAGCACAGCAGTAATTAGGACCAAACTGTGATCCATGTTCCTCACAATTTTTATGACCTATTGGAAAATGTCCTCCAGATTTTCAGGGGCAATTTTTATATCAGAAAATGTCTGTGGATTTTCCTAATCTCTGTATATAATTATGGTGACTGATAAGGCAGTGAGGAACAGCAGTGCATGCTCAGTCTCACGTGTGTCCTACTGAAAGCACATCTGGAGAGAAGATTTGTATCCAAACCAAAATAATTTATAGGCCATAAAGATCTGAGTCTTCAGTGTGAAGTCAGCCCTGTCTATGGGTGGGAGTCTCAGCATGAGACACTTCTGCACTGAGTGAAAAAGCGGAGCAGGGAGAGGAGCAGGCTTCCTCTCTGACAGCAGCCTCCTTTCCCTGTATTTATAGAGATTATGTTAAATCTGGAAAGGAGAGTGCAGTAGGTATGGCATTCATTTTTAAAACCGTGCTATGACCAATGACCACTAACCGCTCAAAACATCCTTCTTCTGTTGCTAAAGAAAACAGCCAAATAGAAGTAAGAAGGAGGATAATTTAACTAATTATTTTTTCTTGTGCTGATTCAAACTGAGAAGTAAAAAGGGCAGGCTGTGATTCTTGAGAATTTGAAGATGGAAAAAAAATAATTAAAAACTGAACTGTACAAACCCTAAGAACAAACTAAAATCAGAAATTACATAAGAGTTAAAACCATAAAATGGACTTTTCTTATTATCACATTCATGAATAATGGCAGCTCAAGTGATTTATCTTGCATCAGAAAATATTTAATCTGGCTACACGGAGGACATTTGAGAGAGTTACCACTCTGAAAATTCCTGATGTTGCCCATGTTACATGAGCCTGTTAGTACCTAGCACAAAGTATGTAAGAGAAAAACCAGATTTGATTCTTAATAGATAAGTATTCTGATGGTTGCACTTAACTGTCAAAGAGATGGTTTTTAAGCAAGCTAATGTGACTTGGCTAATTTGCTCTAAAATCCTAACAGATAATTGGCTTAAATATTTTTTACCTCCGCGTAGGTATGTAAGTTCAGCCTGGGTGTGTTTGAAAGGAGGTGGGTATCAATCTTGGCTACTTAGAACGATGTAAAGAAAGAACCATATTCCGTTCCAGTAAAATTTTTACTCTGATCTACTTTGCTAGATTTACCTATCCTGTTATAAAAATACATTTTCACCTCCTTACAGTGTAGACATAGTCTAAAATTGAACCAAGTAACCAGACTTTCTACAAAGAAATAAATGAAGTTTAGAGTAATGTTAATAAGCAATACCCTTTCCTCTACTTTGAAGAGCTTACAGTCCATCTGGTGAACAAACACTACAGGCTTATCTGAACTCCAACTCACAGGCTGACTCATAGGCGGTTTAGAAGCACATTCTGTAATCGGTGAAAGACTAAGTTATTTCAGAGTGAAGATTTGCATTTTTCTTAAAAACAGTCATGTCCCTATCACATCAAAATTTAGATTTCAGATATATGTTATCAGGGTGAAGGGGAAAAAGGCGTATCTGGGAATGAACTGATTTGTCTAAGGATAGGTATCTCTAATATACTCAATCTTAAAATCTGTGAAGAATGCAGAACAATTAGAAAATTTGTATATATTCCTATAATTTAAAAAAATCATAATACCTAAGGAATGCGCCTGAGGAATAGAAAAGATTGAAAATAGAGCAGTGTTTTATGAGTAATCTGCAGTAGCAGTAGAGGTATCTTCCTGAGGTTTGGGCTTCTCCCCTGAAGTGGCAAATTCTTTTTCTTCTTTTCCTTCAATAACTAGCAGGAACAACATACCACCCCTAATCATTTTAGTGAAGCGTTGTGCATATGGAGGACATATACCTTTTCCCTGGGAGGCTGACAGTCTTACTGGTCTACACGTCAAATCTGAAAGAGCAAAACAGGGTAGGGAATTACTCTTTGAGAGGCTGATAAAAATTTCACCATCTCGGAGCGCAGTTTAGTGTCTGCCCTGCAACAAGTTCCCAAGTCATTGCTTTTTGTTTTTAAACACTGGTGTCTTGCTATACTTTAAAGGTCGGGGAAATGTATCTTGATTTTTCTGGAACCACAGCACCGTCATTAACTTAGCCTATGTTCTCCAATTCAGTCATTGTATGGTTTACATGTATAGTCTTCACCACTCAGGTATACTGTACCACGAATATTCACTATTCCATCTCTTCTTTTCATAAACAAACAAACCCCCAAGATTCCTTGCTATGTACTCATTTTACATCTAGCTGCTCTCCAAGTGGGTTACAAAAGCCAGGTTCTCTCTTAGCATGCATTGGCAGAACTGAAGTCAATGGAGATGTGACCATTGTGTGCAAGAAACGCCTTTAGTTCTGGTGGGTTTGTAAAACTTGAGATTCCAGCAAGCCATTCTTGACCCACTCTTGTTCCATTTTGCGACTTAATAGTTTGCAAACGCAAACTCTGGTGTCAATGTATATGCAAAAGCCAAATTTTTAACACCGTTTCATTCTGGTAACAATATCTATAAATTAGCAATATAAATAATACTTATTTTTCACTTCTGGGTCAATGTAGTCAAAGACAATAAAAACAGGTACTTTTCTATGTTCAGTTTATATAAAATATGTAATACATATGTGGAATATATATTATTTTTCTTCTGAGAGATAAATTTAGTTCATGACCTTGGCATATGCTCCACTTCAGGAAGTGAAGGAAAATGGAAGAATTATTCCCTTCGCCATCACATTAAAGTGTCCCTTTTTCTTTATAATCTCTTAGCATATATAACCTTTTACTACCAATGAGGGGAAATGTCATGTATATGTACTTTATATACAGCCCTCAGCGTTGTGACAGTTTTGTCTTTCAGCCAGTGGTTGAGGATAATCACGGAAGGATTACCCATCTGTTCTTGCCATGTGGCATTCTGTCTTCAGTAAGGCGATATTGCAGTTAACAGCTTCCTGCAGTTCTTTTTTCTGATGTTGTCTCATTAACTAAAAATTGTATTATTATCCTTCTGAGTTACTAAGTTGGACAGTGTGGAAGACTATAAAGGTGACCTACTTTGGATTATCTAAGTTAGAACCAGCCACTGACTGTTGCAAATAGCACTTTGTTTAGATGCAGAAGTAACTGGTTTCATTGGCTTGGGCTTTCATTCTGGGTTTTGCTTTTTTTATTCTGTCTTCCCACTTGATGGAAGAAGACAGGTGGTACCCAAAAAAGGAAAATCAAAGGGGAGAAGAAAAAAAGAGACTTTTTCATGAAGAGTGACACTGGAGATTTTGTGTGCATTATTAGTCAGTTTTTCAAAACGTCAACAGGGAGTTTTTTCAACTACATTTATTACAAAGACATACCAATGCAAAGTAAGCGTAGAGATTTCTTCTGCTAGTCACCTGCAACATTTTCCATGTGTCTAAACTTTTATTTGAGACATCACTATAATTTGCTGGAAACAAGCTTTTCAAAGAAGATTCCAATACTCTTATTTTGCCTAACACTGAAAAATACAGTATTTTAAAGACAAATAAGTTTCATTCTTAAGCTTCTGATATGATGCAAGTTCATCTGTTTGAAAGCTTGCTATAAAAAATACCTAATAAAATAGCGTGGCTGTTCTTCATAAACAGGACCATTTTGTGGCAATTGATTTAACACAACTTTTTATGTCAGGGAACATTGTTTGTGATGTTATGTCAAACTCAGTGTTGGCAGCTTCAACAGATCATTTGCCTGCCAGCGATGCACTCGTGTCCCTTGACCACACTGGGTAGTCCCAGAGAAAACAGTGTGCTGGGTGGAGCTGGTACTATATGCCCATGCGCGACAGTGATATTTTGCTGAACTTCTGCGTAAATTCTCCAAACCCTTGGACCAAGTTGCCTGGGGGGGGTTGGGGTAGGGGGGGTAGTGGGGACGTGCTGTTTCCCCCTGAGAGAGAGGAACAGAACAGGTAGACTGCATTTGCTGCTGCGGTTCCTAGCAGCCCAGTTAGCAAAGAAGTGTTTCAGCTTACCTCTGAAATTGGTCTGTCAACACCACAGGCATATCAGAGATATTATAAACCAAAGACAATTATACAAATTTAAGCAAACAAGCTTGATAACTATCGTTACTCTTGCTGTATTTAGATAGGCATTAACAAAAGCGGGTGCAAAAACCTGCTTGGCTATAATTTGGATGCTACAAGAGAAGGAAGTATTCAGACAAGATGTTTGATGTGCCTTAAAAGAAATACAGTTTTTGGAGGAGGAAGGTATTAGTCCATGTACGGCAAAGATGACTGCATCGTACACTACATGATTTCTCATTATAATAGCTTTTGAATTCATAGAACTGGTAACACATTGTAAACACTTGTTATTGAATCAGGGAAGATTTTGGTAAAGGTGATACCTCCTTTACAATCTTTGAGAATTACTCTCATTTTTAACGGTTCAAGCACCGGCTTTTATCTATGCCCCAGATCTTCCATCACAATGAAAAACCTCCATAAATAGGACCAAAAGATGCAAGATTCATTGAGAATCTAGCAAACATACTCCTCTAGGGAACAAGTTCCCATCTGCAAGACAAGAAGGCAGGTTCTTGAAGCCGTATGGAGACTGAGAAAATCCTCGTGAGCTAGCTAACTAACAGCAGTTTTGCAGTAGCAGACAGCAGAAGTATCTTGAAATGATCTACATCTATACAGTTTTGGCCTCACAATGATTTCTGCTTTGATGAACTTAAGGACTGGGAGGAAAAAGAGCTGGTAAACCAATCTGTCCACATCAACAGTGTCATACAAAACATACAAGCTGCCTGCGATTTCCAGAGCCATGCTGCTGACCATGCCTAAGCAAGTGCCTACTACATAGTGACCACTTGCACACACATGTAATCAGTAGTTTGTTCACTGGTTTGCATGCCTGCAGCTGCACAAATTATGTACGTATGGAGATGGCCAAGTTATGCCACAGTACAGCACATACTGTTGTAACCACCTTTAAGGAAAAGGTGTGGTTTGGTGCCCATCATGGCTCCATCAGTTTTAAAAACCGGTATTTATCTCACCTAAGAGCACTGTAGATGTGCTGACTCTTCAGCAAGGGCCACTGGAGGTAGTGGCTCGCTTGCTCTCTGTGGTCTCACTAAGGGAGATTATACACGAGGTACTAAGTCCTGCTGCTTCTACTACTTCCTTCAGGTCTGCCTGGTAAGATGGAGATACTTACATGACTGCAGTTCTACCTTTTGGATAGTACAGGTTCTTGCCATGACAACTCAGTGCTGAAATTACCGGTTCCTTCTACCCATTTTATTATTAAGTTGTGGGTACGGCACATGTCTGACAACTTGTCTGCCTGGAGAACATTCTGCTCCGAAAGGCCAAGAGGTGTTTGCCACGAAGGATAACTGTTCTGGCAGTGACGTGATGTGCAGGAGACATCCACTTTTCATGTAAGAACTCAAGTAACACACTCCCCCATAACCCACCACAGGTGCACAATGCATGTGCTATATTGCAGAATTACTCAAATATCTAAATGTTTATATGTGCAAAATTCAGACATGTACATGTATAAGCATTTTTGAATAGACAAATAGATGCCATGGGTAAAACACCTTAACTCGCAGAATACAGATTAGGGGTTGGAACTTAAATTACAATAGTTTGCCCCAGGAGTGACATTAATAAGTGTTACCTCTCTTGTAAAGGCAGAGAAGATTTAGAAAAGAAACTAAATATTATTCAGTGAAAGGGAAAATAAGCAAGTAGACCCTACAGTGATTACACTGTGCTCATAAAACAATTCAAATATACTCCTGTTGTCTCTAGTCTTTGACACTGTTGCAGTTTAACCCGGCAGGCAGCTAAACACCACACAGCCGTTCGCTCACCTCCTCCCCCCCCACCTCAGTGGGATGGGGGAGAGAATCGGGGAAAAAAAAAGTAAAATTCATGGGTTGAGATAAAGACACTTTAATAGGACAGAAAAGGAAGGGAAAATAGTAGTAGTAGTAGTAATAATAATGATAAAAGAATATACAAAATAAGTGATGCACAATGCAATTGCTCTCCCAACCAAAACCAGGACAGACACTAAATTACAGTATAAAATAAATTCTTCAGGAAGTTCATATAGCAAGTTATTTGTATATAATGTGCAGGCCACCTTTAAGATCCAACAAATGTTAAGTTATGGTGAATTTTAATTCTGAACCATGTAGTAAATTTTGACAACACATAAATGATCCAATTCAATACAATCTACCTTCTCAGCAAAGTGACTATTACAATATATGGCTCTCTTTTGCCCTAGAATGGCTTCTAATATGTAGTTGCAATTTCACGTAATAGTGGGACACACCTTTCCTGATGATTAGTGAAAGCAAAGTTTTGCATTAGGTTTTTCTTTTCCTGAAGAACTATTACAATAAAATATTTCAGATCTCTTAGGACCTAAATAAGCACCTGGAAATTCCTGTAAATTCAAAGAATTAGGTCTCAACCCAGAAAAACACTTAATGACACGTATGATCCCATTGAATTTGGTGGCATATGCAAGGGCTTCAAATAAAGCATGTACTTACAAGCTTTGCTGAGTTGAGGCCTTACGGAATGATGCTATGCAAATCAGTTTAAAAATATTCAGAAACTAAACTTGGCTTGAAATTGAATGCAACCACTGATCAGCAGTGATTTCTTAGGCTCTTTTTTTTTTTTTATGTATTTGTAAAATAATTGTATGGGTTTTTTAAATTGTTCTTCTCCTACCTGCATATTCAGAAACATTTTTCAGATTGCTGTTCACTAGTAGGTGTGAGGTGTTTTTTCCTCAAAATTCATATGCAACACGTTATTGTCTCTGGATGAGCTTTGCCTGTGGCTGAAGTAGGAAACAAACTACCTAGATCA